GCTTTCTGGAATCCGCTCGAGGGATCCCCTCTCTGCCCCTGGACAGTGGATCCCCCTCTGTGAATCTCAGAGATTGAGGGTGGGAAGTTTCTTCCCTTGCTGCAAAAGGCCTGAGCCCTGCCCAGGAGCCGCAATCCACAGTAACATAGGAACAGAGTAGGAAGGGACCATGGAGGTCTTCTAGTCCAACCCCTTGCTCAAGCAGGAGACCCTGCTTATAGATTTCAGACAAACTTTTTCTTAAATTCTTCCAGTGTGGGCGCACTGACAACTTCTGGAGGCAAGTAGTTCCACTGATTAACAGAATAACAGAGAAGAAAGGGACCTTGGAGGTCTTCTAGTCCAAACCGCTGCTTGCTTATGGTTCGGACATGCTTGTAAAGGCTTTTCCCGTTCTCCCTGCAGTAGGCAAGATAGAATGGGGGGGGAGGGGAGTGTTGAATACCCTGAGCTGCTCTGCCCCTTTCAATCAAAACCCATTCTCCCCTCCTCTGCCTGCCCCCTCCCCAACCTGGAAGAGGAGACTCCCGAAGACCAGCCAGGAGAGTAAAGACACACAAACCTTCCTTTGTCGTCTCAGGCATTTTTCTGCTTCGCTAGCCCATTGTTATTTTATTGCCTTTAAATTAAGGCACTGATCTTTTCTGTTATGGTTTGGTGCATTTCAGGGCCCTGCATGGCATCCAGGTTTTATTGATGGAGTGCTTTGAGGTCTCCAAAGAACGAAGGCAGAAACTCGGCCACAGGGTGACGGCTGAGAAAAGAATCACGGGCTGGGACAGATCCCAGGTTGGTTCATCTTAGCTCAACTGTCCAAGGCCTATGGAGGACTTTTGAAAGACTTCCTTTTTTTTTTACCCTTCATTTAAAGATACGTCTTTATGGAATTAAACGTTTCAGTCCTTTCCATTCAATCCTCAACGCTCTGCAACGTAGTTGATACTGAATTTCCAGGCGAGGATTCTCAATGTCTTTACTTGAGAGGAAACCCCATTCAAGAGAGTGAGATTTCCGAACAGATTCGGAGAAAAGGCTGTGATTTAGGCCAGGGATCTTCAACTCTGACAACTTTAAGACTTAGGGACTTCAACTCCCAAAATTCCCCAGCCAGCAGAGTCCTGGATGGACTGTTTGAACGGCACTGAAAAAAGTAACTTATGACTGTTTTCACACTTATGACCGTTGCAGCATTCCCATGGCCACGTGATCAAGATTCAGACCCTTAGTAACTGACTCATATTTATGACGGTCGCAGTGTCCCATGGTCACACGATCACCTTTTGCGACCTTCTGACAAGCAAAGTTAATGGGGGAAGCCAGATTCACTTAACAACCGTGTGTCGCCCCTGAAGATGACATATGTGTACCCATTTTATATTGTCTATTCTTTTCTTAGCTTTTAGGCTTGCTAGTAAAGGAATTGAGTGTTACTTCAGGCTCACTGCTCTCTAACTGTTGAGGGGGGGTTATAGAGATAAGGGGGGATGTTATGTCTGGGTGGAAGATGCCTGCAGCTGGAGGAAGGTGGAGTTTGGGATCACTGGACTGATGGCCTGAGAATTGACTGGAGATTGTGACTCTGGGGGATGTTTCTGTTTCTTGCTTCTTATTGGGTGTAATTCCGGAGCCGGGTCAGAGTCGGAATTGCCCCAAGTCCTTGCCAATTTGCTATGTTCCTAATAAATAGACTTTAATGGAAAATGGATGCCTTGGATTTTATTTCATGGGACATGTTACTTGGAAGCTTGACACCCTGTTACTAACTTAACGAGTGCAGTGATTCGTAACAACTGTGGCAAGAAAGATGTAGAATGGAGCAAAATTCACTTAACAACTCGCTCAAGTAGCAGAAAATTTGGCCTCAACTATTTGTCCAAAGCAGCCAAAGGCAAGATGAGAAGCAACGGATGGAAACTAATCAAAGGGAGAAGCAACCTGGAATTAAGGAGACGTTTCCTGATAGTGAGGATAATTCACCAGTGGAACAACTTGCCACCAGAAGTTGTGGGTGCTTCATCACTGGATGAGATTAGACAACCATTTTTTCCGCAGTAGTACAGGGTCCCCTGCTTGAGCAGGGCGTTGAACTAGAAGACCTCCAAGGTCCCTTCCAACTCTCATTATTCTATGTTCTGTGGGGATGGTCCCATCACCGTCTCCTCCAAGGATGGTGCTCAGGCCTTCAGCTGGGCATTGTTTGCAGCGCTTCTTCAAGCTTGGTGAGAAGGTGAAGCCAGTGAGCCAGGTCCTTCCGTGTCCTTGGGGTGAAAGACTGGCTGATGTCCCTCTCCCCACAGGAGCTGAGCGGCTCCCCCAGGCCCCCTCCCCCCTTTCTCTGAAGCCCATTTCTCCCTGTCTGGTCAGATCCCTCTTCAAAGGACCTGGAGGCCAATTGTGGGAGGAGGAGGCTCCTGAAAGTCTTGGTAAATGTAATTTGAAGAAAGAATCACGAAAGGCTTGTTTAGCTGGGGGGGAAACGCTTCATTTTCATAGACTCAAACAACCTGATAATTGTGCATTTGAACAATCTCATCTTTCCATTAGAAAATATTCCCATTGTTCCCTTGATGTAACTCATTTCCTTAGTAAATCGTGCTGTGTATGGGGTGAGGAGCTTCCCTCTGGCAGCAGCCCAATGGGGGCCCTGCAACCTGAGCTTGAGAGAAGTACTTCAAACACTCCAGTGAATGCAGGACCCCCCAACAACCCTTGGAGGCCTCAGAGACCAAAGTGGGGCCGGGCTGGATGGCCAGGGCTTCGCTATAGGCCCATCAAGATCATAAGCAACGTCTCCTTCTCTCCCTCCCTCTCCCTTCTCTTTCTGTCTCTCTTCCTCTCTTTCTTTCTCTCCCTCCATCTCTTCCTCTCCCTCTCTCTCCCTCCCTCTCCCTTTCTTGTTCTCTCTCCTTCCCTCCCTTCTACTCTCTCCTGGCTTCTTTCTCTCCCTCCATTCCTCCCTTTCCTTCTTTCTCCCTCCCTCCTACTCTCTCCCTCTCTCCCTTCTCTCTCTCTCTCCCTCTGTCCAGTCCCTCAATCAGCACGCAAAGGGACAGAACCAGGGAGCTTCTCCCCACCCAACCCCAGATCCTGGAGACACCATGAAGCCGGAATAGGAAGCAGAAGGAGCCCCCATCCAAGGTCCCAGTAGAAGGATGGGCTTTGCAAGAGGGAGGGGAGGTCAGAGGAGAGGACAACCCCCTTGGCTGACTGGGTCTCTCCTTTCGCCTTCTCAGCTCCACCTGCAAGAATCAGATCCGAATACGCTGACAAGATGCTGCAGGTGGGATTAGGAGGGGAAAACGCCCCTGAGAGGGCGCATCCTCCCTTCCCACGGTCAGTTGCAGAAGTGCCCAGGCCAAAAAGGACCCAGATTGGCTGGGCTGAGGCTCGGAGGGTCCTCCTCCCTCTTTTGAGAGCTGGGCATCTGCTCTCCTCCCTCCCTCCCACAGCTTGGAGCATCCGTCTGCTGGCAGCCTCCAGGTGCCGCACAGGATGGCTGGCAGAGCTGATGAGCCTGTCATGCAAACTATGGGAAGGTCCTGCTGCCCAACCCTCCCCCTGCCCCCAATACCTAGAGGCCAGGCCCTTCTGAAGGCAGGAGCCCTGGACAAAGCAGACTCCGGGAGGATAAGCAGAGGCAGTCTGACTCAGGCTGCTTCTCCCTCTGGGCGGCTCTCTTGGCAGCCATACGGAAACCGTCTCCCACTCCTCCTTCTGGCAGGCTGTCTTCAGCTGCCTCTCCTCCACTCCTGCCCCAGAGTCCCAGGGGGGGGGCTCCCAACTGAAGAGGGCAGCCCCCTGATTTCCAAAGGCAGCCTGGGGGTCCACCTGGCTGCATGGGGTTTAGAACCAGTTCCCTCCCCTCCCCCCACAAACACTCACCTTAACAGAATAGCAGAGCCGGAAGGGACCTTGGAGGTCCTCTAGTCCAACCCCCTGCTCAAGCAGGAGACCTTGTACCATTTCAGACAAATGGCTGTCCAGTCTCTTCTTAAAAACCTGCAGGGCGTTTCTTGGGAACCTGGCACCAGCTGTCCAGGACAAGCAAGCTGGGCAGGGACACTGGTTAAAGTGTGTGTGTGTGTGTGTGTGTGTGTGTGTGTGTGTGTGAGAGAGAGAGAGAGAGAGAGAGAGAGAGAGAGAGAGAGAGAGAGAAAGGCACCGCAATCTGTGCTGCTCCATGAGTTAAGTGGGCGCCAAAAGGGATCCACCTGCTGAGTGGGGACAAGGGCCGCTTTTCTCTGCCCCATAGCCACCAGTTCTCCTGGCCTGAGGGGCTGGTTTTGGGAGGAAAGACGGGGAGCCCCAGCTGAAGGCCCAGTCATCCAGGAAGGGGGCCGGGTGGGCTCTTCCCCTGTCCAGGACAGGACACTCCACTCCCAAGGCAAGTGGGAGAAAGCCATTTCACAGGAGAGGGGAGGGGGAAATCACCCCCACCCCAGGCCCCCTTGGGTCAACCAGGACACCTGCAGCCCCACCTTGCCTCCTCAGGAGCCCGAGGGGGGAGATGCTTTTCAAGGAGCCACAATGAGGGCTGAGAGCACAGCCGGCTGGGGTGGGGGCCGCGCGGTCCCCCCATCTCCTTGGAGCCAGACCTACTTAGCCAGGCGGAGAGACCCCCGCCCCATTGTAAGGGCTTCCAGGGCAGGAGCCTGGTTGGCGCTGCTTGCCCCCCTTAAGACCCAGTGGGCGAGCCTTGGGGGCGGGGGGCGGGCGGGGACCCCGGAGGCCGGCTGGGAGCCTGACCTGGCCTGCCCAACGCCCCGCGACGGAGAAGCGGCGCTCCGGGGCGGCCCTGCCGGGGGTGGCAGCGGCCGCTTCGGGTGCGGCGGCTGAGCGAGCGGGGCGGGGCTTCTTGGCGGGCGCTTCCCGGGGCTGCGGCGTTGGGAAAAGCCGGCGGGCGGGCGGGGGGGGCGGGCGAGGGGCGGCTCCTCCTCCGCCTCCGCCTCGTGCCAGCCTCGCGCTCCGGGCAGCGTCCAGCCAGCCACGCCTGCCCTCCCCCTGCGGCAGCGCCTGGATCCCGGGCAGCGCAGCTTCGGGGCCTTTCCTGGCGGCGGCGGCGGCGGCGGCATGGGCTGGAGGCGGGCAGCTCGCTAGGAGAGGAGCCGGCGCGGTCGGGGCGCCTCAGGTGAGCGCTGCGGGGCGGGCTGGGCTGGGCTGCGGCCAGCGAGGGCCGGGCCGGGGGGGCAGGAGAAACGGGCCTCCCCCTCGGCCCCCGCCTTCCGCTGGACAGCTCCCTCTCCTCTCCCCGGCCGCTGCCTGGAAAGCCCCCGCCTGCGGGGAGAGCCCAACGGCCGCCCCCACCGGCGCACCCCAGAAATGATCAAGCCGAGCCCCCCCCCCCCCCCCCCCCGGGCCTCCTGGACGGCGGTGGCCCCTGGAAGCGTCGCGGCGATCCGGGAGATTCTGCCCCGAGCGGGAAAGGCTGGCGCGTCGCTTCTCCCGGCTCCAGGGCAGCTCCGCATCCCGCAAGCCCAGCAAGGCTCTCGATGGGGGGGGGTGGGGTGTTGTACCTGCGGGCGGGCGGAGCAGGCGACGCGGGGTCCAGCCGTGCGGGGCAAGAGAGGAAGGTGCGGGCTAAGGGCTGGGGGTGCCCCCTCCCCTCCCCTCCCCCCCGCCTGGATTCCTGGGGGGGAGCTGAGCAGACGGTGTTCAGGAGCAAATGGGGGGAGGGGAGGGGGCGGCAGGGCCAATTCCAGACTCTCTTTCAAAGTGGCCGGGGCTGCGGGGGTGGGGGAGGGGCGAGGCACAAGCCAAGATGGGTGGTGGGGATGCAGCAGCCGCCTGTTCGATGCAAAAACCCGGAGCAGGAGCTGTGGGTTCAAAGGCCCGGCCCATTCCGGGTTGTATCTACACAACTGGATGCCTCCAAAGCAGGGGAAGGAATTTTTTCTCCGCCGGGCACCACAAGAATTCCTTGGAAAATGGCGCACGGGCTCCCTGCCAGGGAAGAGCCCGCCCCCGACTAGCAAAAGGTGTTCTTAGGCCACCGAGGGACTCACCTGCGCTGAGATTCATCCTCCGGGTGGGAAAGGCTGGGGCAGCCCCAGAGGAAGACCAGAGAAGCCCCTTGGGACATGTGCAAAGAAGCTTTGCCCCCCCTCCCCGGACTTGGGGGTGGGGGGGAAGGTTGACCATCCTGGTCACTAAAATGTGCCATTTGCGTTTCCCACCCTCCCAAAGTGTTAGAAATCGTTGGTGGCCAGAGCCTTTTTCTTCAGATATCAGGTCCCCAAATGGAGGCGGTGGGGGGGCAGAGAGGGGAGGAATGGGCTCCAATGTTGTGAGTCACTGTGGGTCTGGGCCTCTGTTCCCAACACCTTTGGAAAATGCTTTGTGGAAAACCGTTTGTGTGATAAGAACGCATCTGGCATCTTTGGGGAGGGGGAAGGTATCATGGCAGACAAGGCATGCGAGGGTTGGCATTCCTGTGATTTTACTGATTTATTTGCTGGGCCACTCTGGGCAGCTAAAATGGGCTAAAACCATCCAGGCGTTGCATGCAAACCAGCACCGACAGACAATAACTCCCATCGCCTGGCCCCCTCCCCGTATGGGTGGCTCAAACAATGTGCTGGGGTGATGCCCGAGGGCAGCTTTGCTGAGCCAGGAGGCAAGTAGGGAAGCTGCCACACCCACCCAGGCCAGCTACATCTCTGCCCTTTGGCTGATCACAGATACTTTGGCATCTCTTCTGCCCTCAGCTGGCGCTCAGAGGAACCAGAATCTCTCCGTCCGTGTAGGAGAATCGGGAGGGGGCACGGGAACATCTGCAGAGCCTTTTCGGTACTTTTTAAGGTTCCCCCTAACATTTTTAGGCCAATGCAACAATTTATTTGTTTGTTTTATTGAATTTTTTAGGCTGCCCATCTCAGCAATATGGCAACTCTGGGTGGCTTACAATATAATTAAAAGTTTAAAAAGGTAATGCAATCAATTAAAATTAGGAGAGCTAAATAGAAAACCTTCAAACCAAGATGACGGGTGGCCTGGAGGTGGGGGTGGGGGTCTTCTCTACCGGATCGGCCACCCCCAACATAGTGGGTCCCTGAAGGAGCCCCAGACCAAACGGCAGAGCCAAGTTTTTGGACTCTCCCAGAAGGTCAGGAGGTTCGGATCAGATCTCACCTCCAGCAATATCTCCGAGGGTGGGGTGGGGGCCCCAGCAAAGAAGGCTCTTCTCCTGGACCCCATTAGCCAAAATCCTTTAGCAGTTGGGATCTGCTCCACCCATTGGAACAAGTGGGGCAGGTCGGTCCCATTGGGGTAAGTCAGCTCCTCTGAAACCCTCGACCCACATCATGAAGGGCTTTGAAAGTAAAGACAGCCACACCTTGAATTGGAGCTGGAAGAAATCCCTTCTCTCCATTAAGATACACATAGTTCTATGACTCTCTCTCTTCTCTCTCTCTCTCTCTCTCTTCTCTCTCTTCTCTCTCTCTTCTCTCTCTCTTTTCTCTCTCTCTTGTCTCTCTCTCTTGTCTCTCTCTCTTGTCTCTCTCTCCTTCCATTCGTGGGCCACCTCCCCTCTCTTCGGAGCCCCCTCCTCTCCGCTTCCTCCACCACCCATCACCATCCAGGTGATCCAGGAGATCATAAGTGAGTGGAAAAGTATAACAGGCACACTTGCCTCTTTCGCTCCCCCTTTGAATGTGGGGCTGATGGGGTGTCTAATGGGGAGGAAGGAGGCATGGCCACACCACTGCTGGGAGTTTGGGGCATGGATGTTGCTGCTGCTGTGGGCACCTGCTGGCTCAAGCCTTCTTGGGGATTCGCCTTGCCTGACCCCCTTTTTGCCCGTCGCTGCTTTTTGTGAGTGGATTGCAGGGCACGCCTACAACGCGATGCCCAGCTGGCAGCCTTCCAGCACATCTTTGGCTTAATCTGATCAGGAGGGTCGTCTCACTGTTGTCAAAACAATACTACCAGGCAGACCTCTTGGGAGGCTGGCGTAGCAATGGCAACCCAGCACTCAAGCCCTCTTTTAACCAGAGATGCCAGGAGCAGCACCCGGTCTGGGCAGACCTCACTCTAGATGGAGGGCCCAGCCCAGGGTGGGCAGGAAGAGGCGGGAGAAGAGGCTCCCTTGGCAGACTCAGAGCCTGGCAGCAGGATCAGCTCCAGAGACTTATTTCTGCCCTGTCACGTCTAGGGACCAGGATGGTCTCTAATGAAGGGAAATGTCTGCAGCTCAGGGGAGAAATGAGGGGTCCTTGGTGCTCTCTGGGCTTGGTGGTTTTCTTGCAGATGTTTCATCCCCCAACTAGGGAACATCATCATCACTGGTGATGCTGCCTAGTTTGGGTCATGAAACATCTGCAAGAAAACAATCCAGCTCAGATCATTAAGGACCCTACAGTCCTTCTCCTTGCAACTCCTTTCTGGCACTGATGATATTACCTAGCTGGGTCATGAAACATCTGCAAAAAAAAAAACAACCAAGCTCAGAGAGCCCTGAGGGCCCCTCACGAAGGTCTCTGGACTGAGCTTGGAGCTGGAGGGGCCTCTGAAGGAGGGGGGAGGATCTCTCTGCCTAGAGCACCTCCTGGAGGAAGAGCCGGTTCCTTGCAGGGGAGGCCGCACCTTCAGACAACACCTGCTGGAACTCGGGTCTTCCTGCTTTGTGCACCTTTCTGTCCCACCAAAAGACTCCCAGTTGTGGCTGTGGCTTCTGGGCAGTGGCATCTCCTCAGAGTCCCTCAAGCATCTGAGTGAGGGAAGGGAGGCAGCCGGGGCTCTGCCCCCCCCCCCATTAGGGCTCTGATTTCCAGAACGACAACATTGGGACTCATTAATTCAGCTTTTGGGGGATTGGTACCCAAAGGCAGGCCCGGGTGCCCATTTCACACTCTCCAGCTTCTACATCTTGGCATGTTTAGCACCGTGCATGACATCTGCAAGCCAGGTTTGATTCTTGTTCACCGGATGAGTCACCTGTAGTTGCTCCTCAGGGATTGCAGCCATCAAAGAAAAACCCCACTGAACATCACGGCACTGGCTTTGGGCTCCACGCACATAACTGCTCTCTCAGCAGGTGGAGGGGAGGCCAACTCACTCCTTCCTCTGAGTCTGGTTCTCGTGGCAGCCCTGGCATCCAGTGGGTGCCCCAGACCAGGGCCCACGTGGCTTGCAATGAGAGATTTCTGGATTCTGAACCTTTCCAATGGGTTTAAAAAGGGAGAACTGCATTCATTTCATTTGAACCCCATTCTCAGTTGCCAGACTATTGTGCCATAAGAGACTGGCCCTTATGGGCAAAGAGAAGGGGCCCCTTGGCCGATGGCACAGCAGTGACACTGGGCAGGACAGCCTCCATGGCTCAGCTGGTGATTTTAAGTCCAGGAAGGTCCATTGTCAACCAGCAAGAGAAGGGATGTTTTTAGCAGATATAAATGTTTCATGGAGCTCACCTGCCAAATTGTAGAGGTGGGATTCTGGGTTTCCCTGGCAACCAAAGAGAGAGCCAATTGCACCCAAATGCCGTGCAGTTAGCAAAGCAGGAGGGGTGCAGAGAATGCCAAATGAGGGAGGGGTCTGAAGGAGCAGCTTGTGCAAGTTCTTGGTGTGACTGCAAATGAGCTGAGCCTCCCCAGATTAAATTGCTCATGGGATGGGCAGGGGAAGCAGCATGGTGGGTGTGGGGGAATTGGGTAAAGGCCCGAGTGCATGAAGAAAAAAGTTAGCATGGATTGGATCAAAAGTGTAGGGGTGAGATTGTGACCAGTGTGCACTCATCTGCAAAAGCAGGTGTGGTAAATGTTTGCCTAGTAAAAATACCAACAATTAACCATCAGAACGGCTTCCCTCCAGAGGTTGTGGGGGCTCCATCACCGGAGGTTTTCAAGAAGAGACTGGAGAGCCACTTGTCTGGAATGGTAGAGGGTCTGCTGCTTGAGCAGGGGGTTGGACTGGAAGACCTCCAGGGTCCCTTCCAAATCTGTGGTTCTGTTATCTCCTCCTCACCGGGAAAAGAGAAAAATCAGAGAACCGGGATCAGCATCCAGACGGACTATCGTTGGCTGCATTCTTCAGTTCTGCCCTGTCTGGAATTTGATCCTGGTCAGTTATTCCCATGAATCTTGAAAATGCCATGTTTTTATGACTTCATTTTGGGCATCCTGGCTGCAG